TCCATCAATCACATGCTTTTCCCGAACAACTCTTTCAGCAACAGATGAATCAGAAAAGACCACAAATCCAAAACCTCGAGCTCGGCCTGTCACCCGATCCCTCATAATCACAGCTTCTAAAACTTCACCGAAAGCTTCGAAATGTTCCCTTAGACGCTCCTCGTTTGTCTCCCAACAAATCCCACCAATGAACAACTTCCCCACTTCCATTTCCACTCCCAACTGCAGACATGATTGCGATTCAACCGATTTAATTTGCAGTTAATAAATATGTTATTCGACATTTAATCGACTAATTTATGCTGAAAAAATTCTTCACAACTTCATTTTCATCAACTCCACTATGAGACAAGCTATTACAAGTAAAGAGCAGCGGATCTATTAGCAAGTAAGGCTGGATCACTAGAGTACTAAGCAATTTTCAGTTTAAACTTTCTTTATTTCGAGTAAATTACCTCAACTTTAGTATCAACCAAGAAAGAAAGAATCCGATCTAATGCAGATTGAGTAAAAAGGAAACAATACCTGAACAAATGGGGACTTTAACAAGACACTATCTGTTCAACGGATTGTAAGAAAAAAAGATCAACGGTCGCCAAAAAAACCAGAAAAAACCTGCAAAATCAATAAAGATTCGATCTTTGACTTGAAACAAGCAACAAGACAACAATAAATCACCAAAAACATAAAAAAATGCCCGCTTATATATCACCAAAAAACAAACCCAGATGAAAAATGCATCCAATTCAAGATCTGAGAGGAATTACAGCTGTGAAGCAGATGAATCAAAGGCCCTTTTTACACTTATATTCCCGTTTTCATACACTTATATTATTATTTTCCAAAACCCCCCGTCTTGATGATTGATTTAATTTTATTTAAAATCGCTATGGAGAAAAAACGATAGATATAAAGCGGGGATTAGAACTTTTCTCACAGGCAATGGGTCAGTAACTATGGCGTTGAGGTTAAGTTAGCCTCTGTTCTGTGATTATAGAGAGAGAGAGAGAGAGAGAGAGAGAGAGAGAGAGAGAGATGGCTCCTTGGGTATCCTCTCGTGTGATAAATGGAGACGACGAGACGCGACGAGACGCGACGGAGCAGGTAGCTAAGCTGTTTATAGATTTTTTTGAAATTTTTTGTATGTGGAATAAAAACAACGTTTTTTTCTTCGAAAATTCGGAATACTACCTCTATCATTTTGTAAAAAATTTGTCATATTGCCACTTTCTAACCGTATTAGACATACCATCCGATCATATTTTTTTTAATAAATGTGCACACTTTTAAATTGAAGTATTATATACTCTACAAAATAAAAAAAAAATAAAAAAAAAATGAGAAGTTATATTTTATATTTGTATAAATATTGTTTTCATAACTGACATACGTCATTTTTACGTACATTTTATAGTGTGGGTCTGGGCGTGTAACTTGCACAAGTTTGACGCGTTTTTTCTATCTTTTACGAGTTTTTCCACTTAGTTTGGCTAGGACTCAATGCCAACTATAAAAGGAACACTAGAGCACGTTTTTGGTGAGGTTTTTCAGAGTTTTAGAGAGTTTTGGAGGCTAGTAACATATACGATACGAGGATGAAAGTCGGGAAGGAGAGATCGACGAAACGGAATAAGCCTTTTCTTTTATCTTTCGAACTCAATGTTTATATTCATTTTACTAATTTTACAAGCATGTTTTTAGGCTAAATTTATTTAAAATTTTAGATTTGTGTGTATTCAGATTGATTTAGGATCTAGTTTTTTATTGCTTTCATTATGGCTTATATCTTGTTTATGAATTTCTTGTGTTTATTTTTATTGTGTGAGTAGACGAATGCTATGAATGAATACTTTGTATCGATTCGAGAGTGAAAGAAGAAAATTGATAGCTACAATTGGAATATTTATACGGTAGGTGAGTAATAGACCGAGAGTTCTGATGTAGCACTCAGAATAGCTTAGTAGACCAGCTTGAGCAGTCAACTCGGGTAGGCTGGTCCAGGAGGGCTCCAGCATGTTCAGAAGTAAGTAACCCAGTCAAGGAGCTCGTATTCGAGCTCAGGGTACTAGCCAACCTGGAAAAGACGACGTGAATGCATAAACCTCCGGGAGCTCGGATAAGATAGCACCTCAAGGTGTTGAGATCATAATACCTAAGGTCGGGATCGACATCAGGAGAAGGTCAGGTTCGATAGGTCGTGGTTACGGCTTGGGAACCTAAGAGCTCCACGGTAAGGAGAAATAATCCTAATAAGAGATAAAATATCACTTGTTAAAGAGACTTGCCAAGATAGAGACATGGTAAGTTAGGAAGTATGATCTGATGGGATTTTTTTTCTAACATGGACTCTCTTGGGCATCAAGATATCAACTCTATATAAGGGTATCAGATTCTACTTCGTTGATATATCACATCTTACGCAACAAAATGACGCAACAAGGTTGATAGGATCTTACGAGAGAACTAAAATCCTAGGAACTTAAGGAGTTAATTATTCATCGTGAGGCGAGGGGGGTAGGGGGGGGGGAGATAGATAGCAATTAATTTATTATTTAACTTGTTCAAGAGAAATTAATTTAGCGATTACCTCTACGATTGATAAAATTAAATAAAGTTTAGTTGAATTTGAATGTTTCATGAATTAGTTATGAGGAAAACATAACCTATAATCTACTTTATCATTCATTCTTTATCATTCATAAGTTTTATTATTGTTTATTATTCACAAGTTTTATTTCTTAGATAAAAATAGTTATTAGTCTTGTACTTCATAACCAATCTCTTAATTTGCATTAGCCTAATTAAATTTTTTTATCGTTGTCATTTTAATATTTAATTATTTTAACTACAATCTATGTCGTACGACCTTGTTTCGCCATTATTTATAGTTATTCCGTACATTTGCAGATAGTGAAAATAATTAGCAAGAATAACTTATTTGTATAACTAGTATGAATCCAGTGCGATGCACGGGTAAGAGATATTAATTAGTATTTATAAATTAAAAATGTTTATTAAATAATATTTATAAATTTAAAGTATATAATTAATATGTAATACGATTTGCTTATGTTAAATTATTGAAAATGCTATATGAAATTTAAATAGTGTAAAATTGCATAAAACATGTATATTTAAAATTAGTATATAACACGTACGGTACACGTATGATAATAATTTACATTATATTCATTTTAATTTTGTATTCATAAATTCGATTTGTCTAAACTTTGATTACATAAATAAATATTTCGGCAAAATTTATCATATATTTAAAAATCTATGTGAATAATAAGTATAATTATAAAACTCGAAGGGGTAGAGGCAGAGAAGGCGGTGGAGACCGGGGCAGTTTTTAGCAGACTCCGCCGAATTCGACAGTTCAAACCCCGCCAGTTCCGGGTCAGTGGCAGGCCCAAATCGTTCATCAGTTCCGTGGCATGTGCCCACCAGTCTTCACTGGTCCGTCACATTGACTCATTAATTAAATTGAATTTATATTTGTATAAACTGTCCAAATCAAACAATTTAAGTAGTTAGTAATTTATTAAAATATAAATAATTGATTATTCTATTTATATTCACGATAATATTGATGTGTAATTTATGAATAATTACTTATTTGACTTTTAATCATGGAATTTAATTATGGACTACACAATAAATTTTCTTATATATTTCGCCCACGCCCGTGCACACACACACAAACACACACACACACACACACACACACACACACACACACACACACACACACACATATATATATATATATATTATCTTGCAATTTTTTAGATTTATTGTCGCTTACCTTATTGTTCGAATTTATAAACTAATTTTCTTGAATTTAATTACAAACTTATGTTTTATTGAACAATGTTTGTTCAAATATCTTTACTTATTTTCAAGAAGAATATATACTAATTTTTCAAATTATCATTGATATTTTATGACAAGTTGTTCTGAGAATATGTTAAGATTTGAGAATCATATCACCTTGATTTTATGACAAATCACATTTGACTTTCATACTATACTAAATAAAATTCATACAATTTATTTTGTTTTCAAAAATTTAAAATGCAATTCTATCCATACCAAATAAAATTCATACCATTTAAATTTGAACATTTTATACCAAAACAAAGTCGACCAATTTATACCATAAAATTAGATATTT